AATCACCATTAAATCACCATTAAATCACCATTAAATCACCATTAAATCACCATTAAATCACCATTAAATCACCATTAAAACCCATTAAATCACCATTAAATCACCATTAAAACCCATTAAATCACCATTAAAACCCCATTAAATCACCATTAAATCACCATTAAAACCCATTAAATCACCATTAAATCACCATTAAATCACCATTAAATCACCATTAAATCACCATTAAATCACCATTAAAACCCATTAAATCACCATTAAATCACCATTAAATCACCATTAAATCACCATTAAATCACCATTAAAACCCATTAAATCACCATTAAATCACCATTAAATCACCATTAAATCACCATTAAATCACCATTAAAACCCATTAAATCACCATTAAATCACCATTAAATCACCATGAAATCTCATTAAAACCCATTAAATCACCATTAAATCACCATGAAATCACCATTAAATCTCATTAAAACCCATTAAATCACCATTAAAACCCATTAAATCACCATGAATTGACCATTAAATCACCATGAAATCTCATTAAAACCCATTAAATCACCATGAAATCACCATGAAATCACCATTAAATCTCATTAAAACCCATTAAATCACCATTTAAACCCATTAAATCACCATGAATTGACCATTAAATCACCATGAAATCTCATTAAAACCCATTAAATCACCATTAAATCACCATTAAATCACCATTAAAACCCATTAAATCACCATTAAATCACCATTAAATCACCATTAAAATCCCATGAAATCACCATTAAAACCCATTAAATCACCATTAAATCACCATTAAATCACCATTAAAATCCCATGAACATGTTCTAAGAATTCGTGTTCCCGGCCGCCCTAGGCTTTTGGTGAATAGCCTGGGCTTCAACGACTTCGTGGAGTCCGATGTCTCCGCGGGGTTTGACGGCCCAGCAGAGACGTGACCGGAGAGACGTTGTTTACTGCGTGGAGTCCATATGGAAAGTGGTGACTTAACCAAGAAAAATGGTGATTTAATGGGATTTAATGGGTTTTAATGGTGATTTAATGGGATTTAATGGTGATTTAATGGTGATTTAATGGGTTTTAATGGGATTTTAATGGTGATTTAATGGAGTTTGGATGGTGGTTGATAGGCTTTACCCTCTGGTAAACGTTTACATAACGAACTGGAAAATCACCATGTTTCATGGGTAAATCAACGAACTAAATGGCAATGTTCAATAGCTATGTTAAATTACAAGAGGGTAATGGGTAGTTTATCAAAAGCTGCAATGAGGACAGTGATAATCCGTAGAATGTGTAAAAATGTTCAATCGTGTCTGGAGAAATTCATGGACTGAATGATTGGAAAGTCAGGCAGCTGTTTTAGGCGAGCAATTCCCCTGGCATGTCTTATTGATGTTCCGAACACAGGTCCCTAATGAGCAATGTCCAAAACCCCTGTGGGTTGTATCAACTTATATTATATGTTGATTCCTGTTTATACATAGAAATATAATCAAATATATATATAATATAATATATTTACACATATGTATATATATATTCCATTTATTTATACATATACATCTAGATATACATCTGTATCTGGCGACAAAAATGGTGTGTGTTTGAACCAGGGGATACTCTGGCTTTTGGGAGACCCCGGCGCAGGGCGACCCCGGCGCCGATTTCTTTGCCGTGGCAATTAGATCACTAATGATGGTTAATGATGGTTAATTAATCATGGTTAATAATGGTTAATAATGGTTAGTAATGGTTAATAATCACTGATTGGTGGTTTCAAACATTTTTATTTTCCATAATATGTGGGATGTCATCCTGCCCATTGACTAATATTGTTCAAGATGGTTAAGTCACCACCAACCAGATAATATATTGTATGTATCTAATCTAATGTTCTTAGTAAATCTATATATATATAGAGATATATATATATATATTGAAGACCTATATATAGATTGAAAACCTATATGTATATATATATACATAAATTGTACATTTTGAATCCCTCATGTTGATGAAACTATGTATCCACTGGTCTCCTATGGCCGGGATACACCTAGTGACCTTGGCAAATTTGGGACTTTGTTGGATGGTTTGAGGAGTACCCGGTCTGACCCCAACTGCATGTGAATGTCTTTCTGATGAGCTTAGTTCCGCCAATCCCAGTTGTTCAGAAACACATTTCTAAGCTGACTATAAATCCGCTCGGTCATGAGTCATTTTAGCGTTTTTTTTTCCCAAATTTTAAGGCATCCGTTTGTGCCCAGTTTTTTTCACCAGCCAAGTGCCTCAAAAGGACGACAGGATTGGAATTTGATGACTCAAAGATTAGCGCATTTTAGCAGTCTGCAACATTCCTCAGTAATTAGTCTGATATCAGCAACAAAAGTGGTAAAGATTACTTTAAAACATCATGAGATTGGTTTTGAATCACAAAAGAGTATCATTTCGGACCAATCTCTGCTTCGTTATCAGCCTATCATCTTCCACCAGATTATGGTCATTCCCCACATCCACCAGGTGGCCCTTCCTAAAGAGCGTTTTGTCGGACGCCAAGGGCGCAGCATGCTGTGTCAGTCAAAATGCATCAAAATTCTGTACACCCAATCACAACCTTTGTGGGCATAGTTCTCTTCTTGGGAATCTTGTTAGACCTGCCAGGGTAAAACGAACCACATCCATATACATATCTTCAGACTCTGGCTGCTATATACATAGTCATATCCTCAAAAAGATATATAAAGATGTAAAAAAAACACAAAACTCGTCATAAATCACAGCAGTCTATCCGATATTGGGGATGACAAAATTTATATCTGTTCGGAAGGGAGGGAATCCAGATGTGTAAAGAAAATTCTGAAAAACCTGGTTGGTGGTTTGGAACATGTTTTATTTTTATATGGGTATATATGGAATAATGGCATATATATATATTATTGGATATATCTGGAATAATATATGGGATATATACTGACGAACTCCATCATTTTTCAGAGGGGTAGGCTCAACCACCAACCAGAAACAAGTATGTTCCCGGCAAAAACCCATGGATCACCTGTGAGAAAGTCACCATGTCTGACCAAGGCCACAGGCCATTCGCATCAACAGCTCATATGTTGCTTGGCCCGGGATGTGTCCAAAACTTCACGTGGCCGGAACATCGAACGAAAAATGATTGGAGGGTAAACATAGCTAGAATCAATTAGATAATTAAGAATCATCTGTAAATGCTTGTAAATTACCCTCTGGTGAACTAACATTTTGCAATGGAAAATCACCATGCTATTAATGGGAAAATCCACTATTTCTATGGCCATTGTCCATTGCTATGTTAGTTCACCAGAGGGTATATCCATCATATTTTCCATTCCCACGCCTCTGAGTCTAGCTCGTGCGGCATCTGCACTGAATTGCCTAACCTTGAAAATCAGGGAGATATGTCCCAGAAAGGTTGGCCTGACATGCACATTCGAATAAATTCTGGACCCAGTCCTGTTCGTCCTGGTCCAAGGCAACAGCAGAATAACTGCCATGTTGATCAAGCCTGTGCCGAATGCCAGTCAACACAGCAATAATTAAGGTCCTGCACAGACGTGGCGGGTACTCTTTGGCAGCCGCTGTCCTAAACGATCCATCACAAGCTCGGCCACTCAGAACCTGCATTGGTCGTAGTGCAAGAGGGTCAATGTTATCATCCAGGGTTTTGCGAACCACATGCGAAGGACCCAAATTGATCGCACGTAGGGTCGTAGGCTTCACCCCAACACTGCCATATTTCCATTGTTCAATCCGATGCTTGACAGCATCGGGCAGCTGCATCATCCATGCCTCGTGACTTGCCAACCGCCAGGTGGAGGCCTTCTCAGCATCTGGATGTTCAGTTGGATGTTCCATGAGTGACCCAGCTCCTGCAAGCGCCAGTGAGGCTTCAGCAATGAAGGAATGAAGCAAAAGGCGAGAACCTACCATAGTTTGAAACAGCTCCCGCAAGCTTCGGTCTTCAAGCAACCATGGCATAGCACATGAGCGAAGGGGACGAGGATGATGGTGGCCATCGTCGAGGACCAAATGTCTCGCAGCACTGAAGGTCTCACAAGGAGGCCCCGTAAGGCCGGCAGCAAAAAATCCTTTCCGGATAATGCGTAACATCCTTGAAAAAACCAAACCACGATCCAAGTTGCCCCAGACCTGATGAATTGCAGTGTCAACTGAAAGAATTCGGATATCATAACCTGGTAAAACACCACTACAGCATTCACTCCAGAAGTGACAGTCTCCGCGCCTCCTTCTGCCACTAAACAAGTGAAGGATCCATATAGTGGGCCTACCATTAATCCATGAGATAGGAACTTTGCTGCAATCAGGAACATGCATAATTGGGCGGAGAACATGCTGAAGACATGAATGTTGAAACCTGACAGGACGAACAAGTGGTTCAATCTCGCGCACGGTCAAAGCATTACCATCTTGATCATCTTCCTGAGCGGGTTGAAAAGCCAGAGACATACGAAAATGCCAAGCAAGAAGTCGCCCGATGGGTGAGTCAAAAACCACCTCTTGTACTTCAGACTTGGCTTTCTGAAACATGGTGGGGGCAAGGTGAGTGAAACGTCTGAATCTCATCTCTCCACGGCACCACAGAAAGAGAGCCCATTCACCTTCCGCATCACACGCAATTGATGTCAGCTGGAAAATCAGTTCATCAACATTACAACATGTCAGAGGCTGCCATGCAGCCAAAACAGCATCGGCTTTGCAGAAAATGTCATTTTTCACACGCTCAGAGAGCACACTGGGAAACCCTTCTGCGTCCCAAGCACGTAAGAGCATATTTTCAGCATCAGCACGTGAAGTAATAAGATGTTCCATATGAGAAACTTGCGGCATGTGAACAACCTGAGCAGGAAGTCGAGCAAAACCTCGCAAATCAGGGGGTAATTGGACAGCACAACTATCAACCAGTGGTGCAATCCTCCATGTCAATTGCTCATAGCATCCATTAGGCTGCCTTCTCGACAGCCTGAGGTGTTGCTGCAATCTGGCTGCCGTCCAAAAACACTTGTGACATGCTTGACACGTGTCAGTGAAAACAAATTTTCGTTCATCCGTTGATGAGCAGTCCAAAGGTGGGCATGCAACTTCTGTTGACTGTCAAATTGCAATGGACACCAATCACAGCAAAGAAGGCAGTCATGTGGATGTGCCGGAGGTGCAAGCACATCACCGAAAATAACACCGCCAGCAGAAAAGGTAGTCCTAAGTTGTTTGTGCAAAGAGACCACATCACCAACCACATGAAACTGCATGACACATCGTCGGAAAAGCCGTTTGACGGTCAAAGGCCCTGAATCACGTTTCGAAGTACACCATTCCACAATCTGCTCAACAGAGGCTTGAGACAATCCAGGTGCGCAAAATTCCCCATCCATATCCGCAAGCCAGGCAAGGGCCCGCCTAAGCCCTTCAAACCAACCATGAGAAAGATGGGAAACTGATGTCACAAAGTCAATCAGGATCTGCGGCCCTTCATTGAAACAGTGAAATGCGTACAATAGTCTAGCCTTGGCCAGACGGAGCGCAAGAGGAGGAAGCTTCCACAGGCATTGGAGCTCGAAATCGGAATGTTGATTCTCAGTCCAACAGCCATCATTGATGATTCTCCTTTGCCAACCAATAATTTGTGCATGTAGGCTTTGAAAGGCACGCGCAGGTAGGAGATCCCAGTTCCCAGCACCATGCAGCAAAACTGGAATAATAAGGCTTTCAAACAGTTTCAACCTGGCAACCACGGAAACATGTCGATTCTTCAGAACAGACTTGCCCACTACACGGAATGCTTGGATGGCTTTAGTTTTGCGATGCGAAACTTCTTGCTGCAAAGTGCCATCAGCTGCGAACACAGTGCCTAAATGCTCATAGGAGGCAACACATCGCAGACGCAGGTCTAAGGAAGAAATGAAAAGTTGTCCTAATCTCTCAACCAGCAAGGATTGACGCAACTGGGGAGCCTTCTGATTGCGGAACGAAACCACAACTTCTGTCTTCTTCGCTTTGAAATTCAATTCAAGGCCAAAACGGAGAAAGGAGCCATGAGTCGCCTGAACTACCTGATCAATGGCAGCTTCCAATTGTTCCCCATGTGGTGCCACAATCGGTATGGCAACATCGTCCACCCAAGCCACTGGAGGGGCTTCCATGCCCATCAACTGCATGCCAGCTTGCAACAACGGGATTGCAGCAAGTGAATCAGTAAGCATCACCAGGACCTTGGTCATGAGTGCATTAAATGCTACATCAGCAAGTGGAGAACCTGGGCGACTACCACGCGCAGTGCAAAATGCATCATTGGAACCAACAAGGCCAAACCAAGTAAAGGTATGGGCATCCTGCAATAGCCTCCGAATGACAATGGGAACATCCTCCTGGAAGGGTATTGAAGTGTGCTCCAAATCACACAGAAGCTGGTCGACATCACATCCTTGTTCTTGCAGTAAAAGCCGAAGATGTGTGGGCAGTTCCGCATCCATGCCGAAAACAATCTGCCGGATCATGCAATGGAAAGCACTTTTCACATCAATGAACAACACTGCCGACGAAAGCTTCATCTCCTTGGCCTTGGCATTAAATGATTTCAAATAGTGAGTTGCAAAGAGAGTGGTGCAACGCGGGAAACCGCCAATCTGAAGGGGAAGCCGCCACCGTTGCAAGGCCGGTAGAAACCCCTGCCGTAACATGGAGTGAGCAACTTTGCCGATAATGTCAATGACCATGATACCACGCATGTTTTCCACATCCCGGCCGCCAATTTTCTTTGCTATGCAATGGAGCAACCCTCCTTTAAACTGAATCGGCTCAAAGCCGGTCAGCCACATCTTCATAAAAAGATGAAGTAGAGGTTCAGCAATCTGTGGGCCACTTTGCCGAATCCATTCGGGCAAAAGCCCGTCAACTCCTGGAGCCTTGTTGACGGAGAGCTGTTGCAGCTTGTCTTCCACGTTGATGCGCGAAGGCAACTGTGAAAGATGCATGTACAAAGGTTGCTCATGCAGTCGGGCAGCTTGAGAGGTGTGACAGTCCGCAACAAGGGAACTAAAGTCAGAGATCTGACCTGCTTCAAGGCGACAAAAATGTTCAGCCTGTTGTTGTGCAGTGGGCCCACAACATCGCAGGTTGCTCTTCCTCTTGTTCTTGGCGCGTGGAAGCAAAGGTTTGATGGCATCCCAAATCCTATGAAAACCACGCTCAGCAACCTGCCCCGTCTGCTCAGCAAGTGCTTCAAAAAAGTGGCGGTCATCTGTCCGAACAGCAGAAGAAACCCGGAGTGAGGCAAACCGGTAATCTTCACGCAAAATGGCCAATCTCATGTCGCACGTAAATGTGCTAGGCAGCTCCAATTGGCTTTCACGTGAGGAGGTTTGCCAAGCTTGAAAGCAAATACGAAGACGATGACGACGAGCATCGATGGCGGCTACCCTGACAGCCTTGAAGGCACGTTTCTTCATCCGAATCAAATCAAAGGTCTCCGAGGAGAGGTGTTGTTTCCTTCGCCGCATAGGCGCTGATGGGTGGAGGTCCAATTTCAAACGCCGTTGAAGCTTCGCAGCATGCGTATGAACATCACATTGCCAGGTAGGGTCATCACCGTTTTCATCATGGACATCAGGGTGATGTGCCGATTTCTGACGTTTGGAAAGAGAAAACCATACCGCCGCACAAACGCATGAATGATCAGGACGAAGAATTGAAAGGTCAATCTCCTGGCTGACCCATGAAGTGACACATTCCTCTTTGATGTTGTCGGAGAGCCCAATGAAATCAAGGCGGGCTTGCTTCCCTTCCGCATGCGTCCATGTGGAGTGTGGTCCAATGTGAGTGGTAGAAAACGTTTGTGGAGCATAAAGGCAATGTTGTGCCATCCAATCATGAAAAAGGGCCCCTCTCATGTTTTCTTCATCAGCACCAAAACTCCCGATGGCCCTCGAAGGAATAGAGCCAACACGTCCATTAGCATCACAAAGCATGACCCATGTCCAAGAGTTATAACTAGGGGAAATAGCATCACTGGTACGAGCCCACCATCGTGCCATCTCAGATTCATCATCACTGCAAGGAGCATGAAGGACAATGAACAGAAGAGAAAGTTGTGGATGGTGAAACCGCACAATAAGCCGACGGTCATCCCCGTAGAGAATGCGAAGATGCTCATGAGAAATACACAAGGTCATGTTCCGAACAGTGATGGCTTTGGAAATCCAAAATTGAAGACCGCCATGTCCTTTGGTCGTAGCGCTGGCGGACAAAATGTGATAGTTCCCCATCATAGAGTGGCCTGAAAGACTACATCTCGTCTCCTGTAAGCCAATGCACTGCAGGTTTTCAGATTGAAATTGTCCAGCAAGGTGTTCAGCTCTAGCTCCCAGAAATGAGGCAGCATGATCGGTCTGTGGGAAGAGAGTGAGGACATTTGCTGTGGCAACTCGCAGGCAGACAAAGTCATCATCAATGCCACCATCAATTTGCCTAGCCCTACGCAACTCAAAGGGTTGAAGATGGACTTCAGGAGCCGTAGTAGCCGGCGCGGCAATATTGAAGCGCCACTGATTACCATGTAAAACTGGTGCTTGTGAATCTCCTCGAAGCGACCGTTCGTAAAGCCAAAGCCACTGCAAGGAGTCATGATCGGAATCATTGGCAGTACATCTGGAAACAATCGATGCCACATCCGCAGTAGTGTGGCCAGAATCAAGAACACTGTAACCTACCGCATCAGCAAGATCGTTCCATGGATGATCTGAATGTCCTTTGATGTGCGCCCAATTCAACTTTGTAGAAACCATCTGTTCAAGCCACAAAGATAACGACCTTAGCGGAGTCGTAAGATCTGAATTGAGCTTGGAGGCACAGCGCCCCTGTGCCGCAGCACCGGCATACAAATTGTCAAAGTAAAATCCAAATGCAGCGTGATGGAAGCCCTGGGAACTCACAAGCTGACAAGCCCAATAGATGGCTAGCAACATTGCCGAAGCTTCCGCTCGAGGCGCTGACGGTGTGGACAAGCAAACGGCCGCATGAAAGCCACCAAATCTTGGTCCACCATTCGTGTCAACGATCAGGACAACTCCTGCTGCAGCCTTGCTGAGGGACCGGCGAAAAGCTCCATCAGTGTAAAATTGAAAACCAAGGGGCTGTTCCGACACCCAACAAGGCATGTGGGCCAAGGCATCCAGGGTACATGGTGTGCATTTGACATGTGACAAGTCAAAGGGAGCAAGTCCAAGCAACGGTTCCACAAGTTGTAAATGAAGACGCGCAAGAGAGGAACAGTCCACAAACGTCCAAACCGGAGCATCAAGTTTGTCAGCTAAGGTAAGTTCCTTGGGTTGTTTGGCATCATCAATACGTGGAACAGAGAGGTCAGCAGGCGGTGGCACAACCTTGGAAAGTTTCAAAGCATGCAACTGTAACAGGCTGTGACTACTCGTAGCTGAACTAAATTGGGGTTCATCCCTGAATGGAACCTCGACCTCAATCTCAACAACCACATTGTCACCAGATTCCAATCGACGTGTTGAAGCAGGAGCAAGGATCTCAGTCCCCACACGGATCTGTGAAGGAAAGTCCCGCAGGTGCGACGGAACAGGTAGCAAATCAATGACATTTTCGGCAGTCTGACGTTCAGGCAAATGCAGAGCTGTATGAAAAAAGTCATCTTGATGAGCAACATGAGCAATACCAGAAAGGAGGACCGAGGCATGACCAGACCTGGGTTCTTGAACTAGAAGAATATGACCAATCACATTCTGTGTCGGTGAATTCATAGGAGGTGGATCAATCCAGAAAAGTTCAAGACGGAGCCTGGAGTCAAGACGATCCCGCCATGCATCAGAGAGGGATCGTTGCCAAGCAGTAACGTCTGAGCGAAGTCGGACCACCCGTGAAATCTGGCATCTTGGAAAACGATGTCCATTCACCTGCCATGTTGTCACGTAGGCAACTGGTCCTTCATCTTCACGTTCAGTACATGCCCGTTCTGCGAACTGACGTTGCAATGCATGGAACCATTCTGGTGCAGAAAGGAAAAGATCCACACGGGGATCCGTGGGCACATTCCCAATCATAATTTGAAGCTGCTGACGCAGGTCATGATCTCCAAGGTCCAAAAGGTTGCGCATCTCGGCCGGCAGGCGTCTGTGAATAAGAAACCTAAACGCATGCCCATGTCGAGCAAATGCACGTTCATGTGGTTGAAATTGTCGATTGCCGAAGAAAAGGGCACACACATTCTGCGGTACCTCCGGCGGACAATCTTCACCAGCCTGCAACATGGTTTGCACAGACAACATGTCTATGCGGTCACCCAACACCAGAGCCATGGAGCGCGCACGCCCTTGATCGTACGCTGAATCGTAAATCGAAACCAGGACCGATCTCTGGAAGGCAGCAGGCCGCTGAACGATCATAAGCTGCCCGATAGTTTGTTCGGCACGGTCATCCGGTGGGGGGTAAATAAGATGAAACTCAATGACTGCTTCAGGAAGAACTCGTTCACGCCACAAGCGCTTGAGTTGGAATTCCCAGTTTTCAAAATCTGGTCCCAGCACTGCCACCCTGGAATTGTAGCACCTTTGATACGCCCAATGGTCAGTGAACCAGGTTTCCAATCTGCCCAGCATCTCCACCCCGCCTGGCCCCAAGGTTGCCATCCTTGTCCAAATTTCATGTAGGTCTTGAACCCAAGGTGCATAACCTTGTAGATCCACCTCATCAACAGCGTGCTCATGAATAGCATCAACCGTATCTTGCATGAGCCTCACAGCACGGAGAAATTCATCAGTGAAACTCCATCGTTCAGTGGAAAGATCACGGTCAGAATCAACACTTTCAACAGAAGTGTTGGAGGTCTCAAGCTCCCCAGACTGCAAGCTCTGGAAGGGAGCAAATGGTCGGCAAGCAGATTGTGGTGTGCCATGGCTCAATTCGTTGGACTGCCATGTAGACGCAACCTGCAATAGCATAGTGCCCTCATGTCGCTCAATCCCAAGTTGCTGGCGAAGTTCTTCAGAAGATACAAGGCTAGGGGAATACCCAGATCTTGGTGACGAACCAGAAGATGCAAGAAAGTCGTCATCATCCAGCTGGCGATAAAACTGCAGCAAACGTTGGGTAGACCATTCACACGTGATGGGTGGGGGAATAACAATTCGAAAGTGATCCCCAGGTTGTATGTGAACACGAGGATTCCCTAGCGTCACAATGGCTTGCCTGTTGTGGAACACCAAACATCGAGACTGTTCCATCCGACAAAATGTCTCAACGTCAACAGTTTGGAAAATGGCACGCCGATCGGCAACGATGGGGAAAGCATAGACCGCCCTGTCAACAACAGGCGCCGTAAAATAATGCCCCTCATGGATATTCGCATGGATCTCTAAATCAGCTAAGCCAAGGTGACGTGGTTCACCAGGATCAAGGTCACCTTCAATATGGGCAATCAACGGGATCACACCATGTGGAAGATCAGAAAGTGGCATAGCGACATCGATGAGCCCAAGAAGTGCATGATCATCCACATTGAGAAGCACGGCAGCTTCATGCATCATGTCCCGATAATCCGTCCAGTCGATGTGGCCAAAAACGGGAGGATCATGAAGATGAAATAAACAAACATGTTGAGAAGCATGTGAGGAAGAACTCGAGGATGAAGGATCAATGTCAACTTCTTCACCATGAGGATCACCATCAACATGTTCAATTGGAATTTGCCTCAACGGAGCTGGAACATTTCTAGCTTCAACGTTGCGCTCTGAGAATGTCATCCAAGCTGGACTCGGAAAATCATTTCGACAAGCCATCTGTGGAGCATTCAACTGCATAAAAGAAATGGAGTCATAATCAATACCACAAGTTTCCGAGATCAACAAAGCCGAAGACTGAGGATCAGCATGAAAATCAAGTGGAGAATGATGCATACTGTGTGGGAGTTAAAGCCCAGGGCTTTTGATCCCATGTGCGAAGAGCATGACCAGAAAGCCTAAAGGCAAAACTGCTCTGCGATTCATCATGATCCAACCGCAGTTGAACCTCATCTGCGAAGGAGACCTGACGATGACTTCTGTGCGGTGTGTCAATCGTAAAGGTCTCAATTTTCAGGGCCGGTGAGGTCCCAACCTCATGGGCCAACTGAATAGCACTGTTCAAAGCAGTCCACGGAGCTTGAAAAGAAGGTTCATCAACAATCGAATGCATCCAGTTCATCTGAATCACGGAGGCAAGCGACAAAGGTCGCCCTTGGCAGACGTACGCATCGGTCACATTCTGCCGGGCACCCCAAAAGGCTGCATAGATGGAAGCGCCTGCCCGGAGTGGTCTCCACCATCGTCCTCGGGAGGTTCGGCAGTTTTGCGCTGCCGTTTGGCTTTTTGCTCCTCCAACTCTGCTTTTTCTGAGAGGTCTTGCAAACTTGTAACAACTGATGCAAGGCCCTCGTGAATCCTTTTGGAAGTTTCTGGTTGCATGTTGATGTCTGTCTCGTTGGGCTCCTTCTCCTCGTCGGAAATCTCTTGTGGATCTGTCTCTTTCAACGATTCCGACTGCTCGTAGAAGTTCTTTTTGGCATTCGTGAGAGACTCGATGGCAGTATCCAGTGCTTCCTGCAAGGCACGCTCCTGGGTCTGAAACATCGTAGTATACTCTTGCCATGTGACAACACTCTGCTGCAAAAACACGCGCCAATCGGTCATGAGTTTGACGCGAGCAGCATTGGCATTCGCAACTGCTTTGCGTGCTTTCTTCACCTTGTCTACTGCCTTGTGCAAACCCTTGGCCGCAAGTTCTTCTTCTCTGATAGCGTTCTTCTTCACCTCTTCTTGAAGAGCAGGCGTAAGAGACTCCTCTGGGGCTTTCTTGAGCTCCTTCAACAGAGACTTCAAACGCACTTCGGCGTCTGAAGGAGAAGTGGCCATAGGTGCAAAGACCGTCGCATCCGCTCCACCAGTTGGTTGGACCCAAACAGATTCCTGTGGCGTCACTTGTGGAAACGTGTGGGCAGCAACATAGGGTTGTTGAGCCACTGCAGCCAAGGGCGGAGGTGGAGGCGGGGCCATCACATTGCTGTTGAATTGACCCTTCATGTTGCCATGACCTTTGCCCTCGCCTTTCACGGAAATCGGAGGGGGAGCTGGTAGCGGAGCTTGTTGAGCATTGGCAGCATATGTGGAATGGTGCCCTTGCCCTTTCCCTCTGTGCTTCTTGGATCTTTTCCTGGGAGTCAGACTGCGCCCATAACCTTGACCCTTTCCATGAGCTTGGTCCCAATCGTGGTATTCTTGCTGCGATTGGTTGTTGCTCCAAGGTGTTGTACCCTGCGGATCGTGATAAGGTCGTGAAGCACTTTTGGAGCGCGTGGAATCCTCTTGTGAGAAAGTTGGATCCCAGCATTGTTGCCAGGGAAGACCGCACCAAGCACACCTCGGCATCATCCCTTTGAGCGTCTTCATACATGTACGACACCTCCATGGTTGCGATTTTTGCGTCGCCATGGCCTTCTGAACCAAAGCAAGAAATCCCCAATCCTTGCTGTGATGAACAGAAAGAGTCTGATGAATGGCAGAGAGTTGACCAAAAGAAAGCCGAATGAAGCCCTTTGGTGAAGATACCAGCGAAGTCTGGCTTTCGCTCTCAAACGCCTGTGCAATCGCCTCTGCGCCAAAGATGTCGTAATTCACCAGGAAAAGAATCAAAAAGAAGGCGAGGAAGGATTCGATCGCCCTGCACATACACCACAAAGAAGAGATAGTGCAAGTGCAGAGCAAATAGAGCCAGCAGCAGCGGTAGGACCTGAAGCTGCAAGGTCAAGGCAAACGCACAGCGCTGCCCGCGGGCAATGGCTCAGTGCCCGCTAAAGTCACACGGAAGGATCCCAGGTCGCAACGGGAACCTTAAGCCGAGACCTTTATCCATCATATATCCTAATAAATCCCATTGAATCACCATTGAATCCCATTGAATCCCATTAAATCCCATTGAATCACCATGGATAAATGATATAAATGGTGTATTTTCCAGTGCTTGATGAACGGAGGGTTACCGGATTTCCACAGTGAGGGGATGATCTCAGTCCAGATGGAACTACTCATGGCGAATGCAGAATGCCAACCTAGCAATTCTTACAATATAGACTATGTATATATATATATATATATGTGTATGTATGTGATATATATATATATATATCTATAAATAATATATATATATGTATCATTATGTATATACATACTACACACATACCACCCATAGAAGAGTAAAACTCCACACACAGAGTGATAAATGACGTTTCTATCTTTTTGGGGGGTTAGTACACACAGAAAGGGAGAGAGATGATGAGAGATGCGTAGATCATGTGGCGCTCTCCACTGACAGGTGGAAGTTGGGAGTGCCCCCTCACGTGCTGCCTTCTTGACAGGTGGGAAACGGATTGTCGAGCGGCGGTTTTCGGGAAAACCAGGGATGACATGGTGACGTTTAACTCCTTGAAATTTGGTTTAAACAGTTTGAACTTGGGTGTAATCAAAATAAGTTGCAACTCAACTTCTAGAAATAGGGAGGATTTCCACAAGAAATGATGGTTTGACCGCTAGACACGGAGCTTCTACCAGTAGAAATGGGTGTTCAGCTATACTTGAAACAGTGATTTAAGGACTAGAAAGAAATGAATTGTTTTTCCAAAAAAATCAGGGATTGACCACTAGAAATGGTGTTTTTGTTCCAATCAAGATAGGTGGTTGACAACTATTTCAAGTGGAAATTAGAACCACTATCACCAATATAAAGAAGTGTTTAACTTGTATTTGAAACTTGAGTTTAATCATGCACTACCATTCGAAAGTCACTCGAATTTCATTCAATCGCTGGCCGCTAGAACTAGTGATTCAACCACTCGTTCGATTGGAGAGTTGGTTTAGCCACTGGACATTAGGCTCGAACCACTGACAAATATTCAAAACAACCTTGTGTTTGACCATGAGACATCCGGGTTTAACCACTAGAGGTGTTGGCTAAATCTGGCTAAATCATTGGACACTGTAAGGCTGCTTTCTGGAACTAAGTGTTTTACCCACCAGAAATGGTGCTTTGTTTCCCAAAAACAAACAGTCGTTTGATCCCACGCGCGAATTCGGGTTCATCATTTTTTGTAGGGCCCCCAGACGATAGGTAACGTTGGTTTCAAAGCTAGTTTAGGTGTGTTTTTGTTAGGGCTGTTTAGTTGGATCAATCTTGAAATTATCCAAATTACTCAGTGGCCGCAGCAAGTGGCTTCCAAGCCCACTTATTTGGATGAAGCTTCGACTCAGATCAGCTCCCCCCCAGAAAAACATGGGCAAAGTATACAGAATCAGTAGTTTTTTTAATGGCAAAATCACCCTGGTTTTCCACCTTTGTAGTTATCATCTAACTAAAATATATTTAAAAATCATCAAATGGCTTGGAGCAACCTTGAATATTGAAGACCAAGACGACATCTCGTAGCTTTACATACTTTGCCAGATCATAGGACCAGAGATCACTAGCAAAGATCAAGCTATGGCTATTATCTACAACTAGACCACTGAACAAGATCGAAAGCTAAGAAAGCTAAGCTGGAAGGAGCTAAAGCTACAACACAAGCTAAGCTAGGAGACCTGTGGGACACGTTCAAGATATGGAACTGGTAGGACAAGCTAAAGCTCTATAGAACACTTATAGAACACGCTTAAGCTTTGTATAGAACAGGTACCAAGTCAGAGCTACGCAAGCAATGGAAATCCGCGCAGGAGGAGATCTAAAGCCCGGGCATAGCAACTGCAAGTAATCCACAAAACACATTGGCAAGCCAGCGGATTTAAGCCACCACTACCGACGACACCTTGATATTGATCGAAACACAGATCAAAATACACAACTCGTGGAAACACGCCGCATATAGACAACTTCCACGGAGCATGTACTTTGCGGTTTGGAGACTCTCGGTGGGTGCATAATGTATATGAGTGTAACATGTCAGGCATACTTCCTGAGATAAGGACGCATGCAAAGTGGTTGGTCATTCTGGGGATGCCACTAACATGCATGTCATGTGATCTTGGGGGACAAGGAACCATCTCAGCAAAGATGGTGACATTTCTGATATGGGGGCAGTTGGGCAGCCAACGACCATCAAAGCTGGATTCCTGCCTCAAGCTGCTCGGGACACGGTCAAGTACATCTTCTCTGATAGCCCTACCTCTGTAGAAGGCGCGGCCGAAGTCTTGCCAAACTTGGAAGCTGTCGCAGAAGATGCTTTGCATTTGGTGCTGCGCGTTGAAGCTTGTACTGGAGAGAAGCGCACTGCCTTGTCCTCATGCTTGCTCAAGATCCAAACCCGCTTCCGCCTGCCATACGCAGCTCCGTTCTTTCGTGGCAATGCTGTGGAAGACCCTCCTGATGCCGGCAACCCCAGCGCAGTTGTCGCAGTGTGATGATGAAGCAAACGCCAAAGATGGACTGTTTCACGGGAAACAATTTTGCGAGAATCAGGACTTTAAGCCTCTTGGAACTTTGGCCAAGTTTTTTCATAGCGCGCGCT